GGGCCAGAAGCGAAATGCAGCAGCAGCAGCACGCACGACCCTCCCTCGGCTCTCCTGCGGCCCACGAGGGAGTGGGGTGGGGGGTGGGAGCTGGGCACGCCTGTCCACGGAGATGGCCCACCCCCTCCCCTCCCCCCTGCCCCCCCCGCCCCCCAGATCGCGCGTATGCAAATCGCCCTGGCCCTGCCTCCCGGGCGGCTGCTGCTGCTGTGCTGGGCACGCGGCGATGTCAGCGGTTGGAGTTCGCGCGAGCGGGTGAGTGGCTCTGCTCGGTCCGGCCCGGACCTACCTTGGGGGGTTTAAGCGGGGTTAAGAAGAGAACAGGGGTCGGCGGGGCTCCCTTCGCCTGCGCTGCACCGGGCCGGAGGGTGGTGGAGGAGGTGCGGTGCATGCTGCATGCTCCTTGCTGCATGCTGCATGCACCGTTCCCCCTCTTCCACTTCACCCCCTGCCCCGCGCGCCCCTCTCCGCCTTGCCCGGCTGGCCGAACTGCTTCCCCGGCCGAGCGGCCGCCTGGGAATTGCGGGGATCGGGGGGTCCTGGCGGGGTTGGTGGTCGGGAGGGTCCCGAGTGAGGAGGGAGAGGGACGGGCTGGACCCAACCGGGAGGGAGGGGGGGCGCAGGTAGCCCTAAGTGTGGCAGGAGGCTTGTCTAAATAAAACCAACCGGGCGGGACCCGCCCGCGCCCTGCCAAAGCATTCGGGGGGGGGGGGGGGGGGGCCGCCCTCCCCCCCCCCCCCCCGCCGGGGCCGGGGGGGGGGGGGGGGCGCGCCCCCCCCCCCCCCCCCAAGGCCGGGACCAGCCCGAGCGGAGGGGAGGACGGAGGAGCCGAACATCTGGGCGAGGCAGAAAAGTTGGCACCGGTGGAAGCGCTTCCTTTCTGGCACTCCCCAGCTGTTGCTCCGTCTTCCGCCGAATCGCGGAGGGAACGTTACCCCCCCGGAGAAGTGGGTTGGGGGTGCAGGCAGCCGTGCCTTCCTAACTTTTCAGAAGTTTCCCCCCGGTTTGGCAAGAGAAGGACCCGGGTGGGAAGGGGACTTCTTCATTCTTCTGCAACCTCTTTCCAAGGTTGTTGAAACACACACACACACACACACACCGCCCGGTGCAGGGGGATGGGGGGGCGTTTCTAGCATTTGTTACCCTGGCTCTGTAGGGCTGGGGATGCTGGAGCTTGTAGTTCAGCAATCTCCGTAGGGCTGGGGCGGGGGGGCAACCCGTCGGGGCTTTTGCAGAGATTCTGACGGGCATGGATTCCCCGGGGTTTGCTAGACGGTGCCAGGAAACGATTTGCCGTCTTGCTGGGGCCAGTAGGCGAAAGGTGTTTCCACCCCAACGATGATGGATTTCGATCCAGGAAGGGTGTGACCAGCCAGGTGGGCGCCTCCAGTTCCGCTTTCTTTAGAAATCGTGCCTCTTACACTTTCCTTCCTCTTGTGGTCTCTAAAAGGAAGGGGCTTGGCTCGGTTTAGGGCACTAATCGGAAGCCCTAGGAAGCTGGACCAAGTTGGATAAGAACCGGGTATCCAACCTTGGCAGCCTTTTAAGATTTGTGGATTTCCGGTCTCAGAATGAGTGGACACCCAGATGTGTGGACTTCAACTCCCAGAATTCCCTAGTCAGCCATCTTTTTTTTTAATTTTTATTTTAATGTGATTTGTCAATCGCTTACAAGATAATAGGTATAAGAATAAACATAGCTATGAATACATGAAATGGATACCTATAAGAAAAATAAAAAAGAAACAATAGGACAGGGACGGTAGGCACGATTGGTGCGCTTATGCATGTCCCCTACAGACCTCTTAGGAAAGGGGTGAGGTCAACAGTAGACAGTCTGAGGTTAAAGTTTTTAAAGTCAGATTAAAGTCTTTTTGAAGGGTAGCAGT